GATTTTTTCAACTTTATCCATAGATGCCCTACAAATGCCTTGGACGGTTTTATCGGGATTTCCTTTAACGTTTTCCTTAAGAAGTTCGCCTTGACCTGAACATCTTCCGCCGTGTTGGTTTCAACAGGTCTTATCTCCCGAGGAAAACCAACGTTCAATAGTTTTTTTTTAATTAGATTTTTTTTTCTTTACCAATTATAATATGATTAATATTCCTCGCTTGGGTAGCAGAATGGCCGAATTCGAACAAGCTAAAAATTAAAGGAAAATCGCGTGTTTTCATTGTCACGTTTGAAAGTAAAACCAGTGTCAATGTCCACTTGAAAAAAACAAAAACTTTTATTAAATAATGAATAGTAAATATTTTGCTGGTAATCAACAAGTAATACTTAATACCTCGTTTGAATTGTTCCAATGACAAAAACGTTCATTTCATGTTCGACAAACCAACATTGCATGACAAATTCTGAATCAACGTGCCAAAAAATTTATTTCTGAGTCCATGAAGAAAAAATCAAGACAAAAATAAAGTAGGTATTCTATTTATCTAGTTGGCCCCTTAGAAGGCCGCGCCGTACTTTTACACTTTCCCCCTCGTAAATTTTTATTCCCACGACCAGATACTTTTACGGACAACAATGAGGAGCATATGGTTAATTAATTTATATAATTAGACACAATTTCTAATTCTAGTCCGTAAATAATGTACGTGGTTTTTATTGCTTTGTCGTTTTATTTAAGACAAAGTGGTTAATAAGGATATAATTATTTAGTATTTTATTATAAGTTGTGAGATTTTTTCTCGAACATTGACCTATAGTTAGGTTCTTTCGATCATCCTGGTCCGTCTAATCTCGCTGTTTTTTGGTCTGTTAAATGCATTTCATCATTTCACCAATTTCATTAGAAAGTTGGTTTGGAACCTTGGGTATTACATACATTGAAAACATTACAGCATGGTAGCATTTACCCAACATCAGAAATTAACGATCGAATCTTGTTCTTAATCAGATTTGCACTTCGATATTGACAATCCTTCCTTGTCCTCCCGTCCTTGCTAGGTCTGTTTTCCGTTCGCGTTGTGTTATGTCGCCATCTTTTGTTCTGCTTTTTCCTCATTGTACAGACTCGTAAAAGGTCACAATTGGCAAGATAAAACACAGAAGGACTACCGCAATGGCAAAATGTCGAAACGTGCCTGACCAACCAAAACAGTGTGTAGGATGATCGTAAACACCCCAAATTCAGCAATATTACAAGTTTATTGGTCATCAGTTCTTCGAACTTTTAAGACAGCTCCAATTTTTAAGAAGATGTTTCATAAAATTTGGACGTGTTTCCAGGTCCCGAACGTTGCACATTCCAGCCTCAACAAAGGGAATTTCGTGAAAGTATCCGGGCCTTATTTTGCATACAAAACCTTTTTTGACGTTTTTACGACCAGGGATAAGAGTAGTTGAGTGGAGAGTTGTGGCTCTTAGGTGTTTAGTTTCTTGAACGAAACCGGTTGTGTTAGTCTAAAATTTCTTTTCGGAGATCCAGAGGACAGGATAGGTCAAAAAAACAAATATCACTAGACTTTCTCACTTTTGGCGTTGGCAGAATAAAAATTCTATCCGTAGATCAATATTTGGGAGGATCCAGGTCCCAATGTGGTAGATTATTTTTTTCAGACCCAAATAGCGAGGATAGGCATACCAGAACGACCAGAAACGACCAAACTATAAATTTTCTATGCCAGAAAAAAAAAGTCAACAGGTGAAATAAAATCAGAAAAGGCTTTTTGAATTTCCGACTCATTTGCAAAATATTTTCGTCAAATGAAGTAGTATAATCTTCAAAAAACTGATTGTCCGAAGGATTTGTGGTAGGATTTTTTTAGCCAAGCTCTTTTGATTTGTCACTCTTTTAAAACACGATTTTTTTTTGGCTTTTCTTTCTTCTTCTGGTTCTTTAAAATTATAAATGCATTTCGTGATGCTCCAAGTCTCCTCTTCACAGTTCTGAATACCTCATGTGTTAAGAGTGAATGTATTTATTAGCGTGAATATGTAGCGACGGCGGAATATTGAGTACTCCATCGACCCTCAATTAGGTTAATTATATTATAGGTGTAAAGGGAGATGGAGAAATATCGAGTACTCCAACACACTACTAGAGTGTATTTTCACAATTTATTTTATGAGCTGTATGTAAAGGAAAAAAAGGAGTGGACGTCTTTACCTTTGAATGTGAAAATTAGTCAAAATTTGAATGTAGGGTAGAATGTAAGGTGATGGTTTGACATGCTTTACCCCCAAAAAATATAATGGTCAAGATTTCTCTCTGTCGCTTAGGTAGCTCCGACCTTCCTCCTAGCTCCTCATGAGTGTACTGTGCCCCCGACAAATTTTACAGGCAAGCTTTTATGTTAAGTAATAAATAATAAGTTAATATAATAATGATACCTTGTACTGGAGTCGATATTTTCAAATGATTCAAGATATAACAGATGTTATTAAAATTGAACAATAAAATTAGATCGCGTTTGAGGGCTTTAATATTTTAGCATTTTTTAGACTTTATCTCCTTCTTACTTGGGTGGCAGCATGAGTAATTGATAGAAATTACTTTATTCTAAGACGAGTCAGTTATTGAAATATTTAAGTTCCAGCTTCCTCTTACTTATTTCCTCCTTCCCACATTGGAAAGATTGTTTATCTTTTATCTAAATTTAACACAATACGACAGAGGATCCTTCTCAGATCAGAAAGTATCGCCAAACGTTTGATCTTCATCTTCCTTCATTCACACAAAATTTTGTTTCTACATTAGAGCTCTTATATAATTAATTCTTGACATTTCATATAAATTTAAACCCCAATAAAAAGCATATTCCAGTGTATAAAAAATGTATTATTTGAAGAATTTTGGCTCAGGCAATTAGGATTTAATATACGTGATGAAACTGTAGATGTTCCTAAAAACTAAAAAATATATCAAATCATTTTAATCAAATGACAGTGGTCGATACATTTATGAAAGGTGGAAAAATGTCATTTTTGTGTGGGAAGGGTGGACGAAAATTAAAAATTAAACAAATTTTTGGGTGGAGTGTGATGTCTCCTCATCCATTCTGCAGAACCTGTGGGTGTTTTGAAATGAAAACATTGCAATTGGGATTTTTTCATCTGCAGAAAAAAAAACCTATCGTTCATTTTTATTTCAATTCTTTCCTTGATGAATATTTATACTCTCCTTGTTTATTCATCCTCTATTCCAGGATGGAACAGGATCAATCGTACAAAATGTATTTACTATTAGGCAAGATTTCAAGTTCAATCCTCAATTAAATTTTACCGAAGTGCTTCAAAACAATGTAAAATATTACACACGGTGGGCTTACAAAAACATACTTTTTTTAAACCGCATTGGCTTATTTGGAGTAGTTTCAAATTACAAACTTTGGTTGATTTCATTCTAAAGCTTTCCTTTTATAAAATTTGGCTCCTAAGTTAATATTAGTATCTCAGGTGCCCCCTGTGATATTGAAGGTAGAGATCATTTGTTTAAGGCCACTTGGAGAGTGTTCATAAGTTAAAAAAAAGATATTTATTATCTGTTTAATCAAATATATTCCACTTATCGAGTATTTTTTATTTAGACCATTCAGGCGATTGAATTTTCTCTACAAAAAATGTAATATATATATTCATTTTTTGTTCTTAATTTTTTTTTTTAAATCTGACATGTTCTGAAATTTTAATTTCCTTTGGTAATTGAAAAATTTTTATTATTTGAGACAAATCTTTGACATTTATAAAAAGGAGGGAAAATATAAGTAAAAACACAAAACATTTAATATAACTCATGTAAACTATTATTGTTAAACCATAGAAACATGCAAAGGGGCTTTGTCATCCAAAGCTTTCTTAAAAATTAATTGGTGTTTTTTTTTTTTTCATTTCATGATGAAAGGTATCTTCATCTGCCTACACACCATCATTTTACTTATTATCCTATCAGTTCAAATTAGCCATTTAAAGAAAAACTGTTTGTAGATAAAAGGCCTTGATGAAAAATGTGAAAAGATTTAAAAATTCTTTTTAAACTAGTTTTCAAAGACAAGCAAAAAAGTTAAAAGTTAGTTTAGAAAGTTTCGCATGACTGAAGGTGATTTTTTACTGTATAGACTTATGTAATTTGCTATTTGTTTTACAAACTTTATCAAAGCCACGTTTTCTGACCTTTTTAATATTCTCCTACAATCTTTCCCCAATTACTGAACCAATGGCAATTTGCATCTATAATATTTATAATATATACCATTCTATAATCCTTAAGATTATAAAATGGTAATAAATAAAAAATTGATTGAAAAATATCTACGGATCTGTACAGAATATAAAAATTAGAGTTTTTAAATCATGCGGGCTAAATTTATCATTTGATTTGTTTTTTAATAAACTAGCCATTATTAATTTTTATTTGCAGTTTGATCATTTATGATTTTTGTCTGTCTAAACTCACAGGATGATCAGATGAACTTTTTAAGTGGAAATATCCCATTTTTTTATTTGTTGTAGCATAATTTTCAATAAATTCACTAATTTCGTGGTCCGCTTGACCAATTAATATATTACAATTAATTAAGGTTTTTAGATGAGATAAAAAAGTCAATGGCAGGAGTGGGATTCGAACCCACGATCTTCGGCTAGATACGCCGCTGCTCCACCACTTGAGCCATCGTGACCTCGATCCACTCAGACACTAAGTTCCCATCTCTTGAAAAATGGCAAAAAGGAGGGAAAATTCAAAAGGTGGGGTTGAGATGGGAAGTTAGTGTCCGAGTGGATCGATGTCACGATGGCTCAAGTGGTGGAGCAGCGGCGTGTCTAGCTGAAGATCGTGGGTTCGAATCCCGCTCGTGCCATTGGCTTTTTTATCTTAACTAAAAACCTTAATTAATTGTAATAATTTTCAATAATAAATTAATAAGTGTTTTCTTGATTTTATTGCAGCTCACTCAGGTAAACAAGCGATGGCACAGGTACAATACAGACATGCAAATTTTCATCGACAAACTGCAGTCGACAATAAGAGACCAGCAAGAACAGATCAACAACATTGGGGAAGGAAGTTTTTTCTCAGATAAAAAGGTAAATGATAATCATTTAAATAGTTGTCAGCTTATAATATAGTTATTTATTTTAAATAAAAAGGTCATTCAACCTGATGAGGACAATACGCCGTGCCAAAGAATAGACTGTAAAAACCTAACAGAAGAAGTGGAAAGGTTGAAAGGAGAAGTGGAACACCTGCAGTTTCAGGTCAGATCACACAAGGATGACTGGGAAGCTGAAAAGAATGAAAAACAGGAAGCCGTAAAGGAACGTGATGCTCTTCAACAAAGGCTGAACAATGTCTTGAGAGATCTTTGTGTAAACACTGTGAGTTTTTCTTTTTTTTTTATGATTCTAGGACATAGTACGGAGTAGATTTTACATAATATTTTTTTCAGAGAGGATCAGAGTCTGAAAACAAAAAGAGCTGCTGCCAGCGATGTAGGAATTGTGAAAATCATGTAGAAAACCAGCCTCCTAGATTACAAGCTTATGAATCAGGACATGTATGTATAACTTTTTTACATTAATCAGTGTAATAGACTGTTTTGTCATTTTATAGTTTAATTTATGAAAGTTAATAATAATATTATGTGTGTTCCAGCATCACAAACAAATTTTAAGTGGACTTTTCTTGGGTGATGATAACATTCAATGCGATGATGGTTACTCAAAGGCATCGAAAGCTTTCAATCCTGAGGATGAGGCTAGAAGTTTGGAGAGGTATGGACTTGAAGATACAGCTTGTGCATTGCGGCCTAAGGAAGAGTCGTACTCTCTCACTTCCACATTGCCGCTCATCTCCCCACCTGAGGTGTCGCCATGCAGCAGCAACGGGAGTATGCATTCCGAACACAGGACGTTCTCTATGGGTATCAAGAGTGGAGGGAACCTTGTCACGTCTTACTTTCAATTGCCGGTGGTTAAGTCGTCATCAGCGCCTGACAGGCACTCGGCTTTTAAGAAAGCGCCTTTTGTCAACTCGATCAGCCTTTCAGTCCTACCGCCCCCTGGCAAGGGGAAGTCGAAGAGGGAAGTGCAGAACGATCGGGTGGAAAGTCAGACAGACGACGACTTCGTATGCCCGCACTGCAGCGCAGTTTTCCAACATGACAAACATTTAAAGTTTTTGGACCATTTTGAAAATTGCCAGAGCAAATGAGTGTCATGTTGAAATTGATAGTATAGCAATAATTGTGTTTTTCTCAGGAATAAAGTGTTATAATTGCATTATTATTTTTTGTCTCTTGAGTTCTTTTTCCATAATTCATTGCATCTCTATTATATACGATTAAATTAAATGGCTTCCTCCAATGTTTTACAATATTTATCAAACTTGTAATGATTGTTTCACCTACTAGTCTGTAATTCTAATTAAAGTTATTATGAGCTTATTAAATAAAATAAAATATATTTATGTATTAATTTTCAGCAGAAATCATTTTATTAATTCTATCTTCAAATCTTCTTAATATTTAACACGTTTTCCCAATATATTAAATAACTAAAGAAGTCTCTTGAGAGTTCAGCAATAATATGCATAGAAACTTCTCGATGAGACAATCTCTTTTAATTTTATCCAATATCTCTTGTGTTTTTAGTGTTTTTACAATGAAACGTTAAAAACTGTGATGCTGTATGCTGATATGTGCATGTTTCTCTCGTTAACCTAATAACCGACACAGTTTAGCCCCGTATGCATCTCAGGTCAAGCGAAACAAGCCATAAAAAGAAAAATGAAAAAATCTTCAATAAGTAATTAACAATGTTATACAGTCGACATTAACATTGAAATTTTGTGATTTTTAAAATTTTCTAAAATGTTTGTTAAATACTATCACGAATAAACTACTATTACATATGAACTGTGTGGTTAATTATTTTTTTATGCCAATTGTAAGTTAATATACGATTGTAAAAAGTTTTTTTAAACAACAATTTGCCTATTTAGCCTAATGTTTATAAACAAAAATTGTTTAAGAATATTACTTGTTTGTTAACAATATATTTGTTTAGGCGTATTGACTTAAAAAATATTTGCAAACTGGCATTTGTCCCATTGTTTATAATTATGTACATAATTATAACTATTTTATCAGATAGTTTAATTGAAGTTTATTTTACAAACCTATTTCTTTAAAGGATATTTTTTTTTTTTTAAATAAGTCGATTCATAAAAATAAAAGAACCAAAAATCTGACCACTGCTTATATTTAAAACTTTTTTTATTATGTTATTTGTACCCGATTACAAATAAGATCATAAAACTTTTCCCCCATGGCCAGCACTGCACCCGGAGGACACATTTCATGAGAAGCCAGGCAATGCTGGGATTTAGTGTGAAGGATTAAAGGGCAAGGCTTGAGCTCGAGCCCATCATTGATTAAAGGCAACGTAGCAGGCTCTCGGAATGGGAATGTGTGGAGAGGGCTTGAGTATTATAGCTAGGATGGACAGTGAGGTTAGTGACGCAGTAAGGAGCTTTGACAATTTGTCCGAGGACTTAATTGGAAGGATTGGATGCGCTGGATATTAGATGACTTGGCAGATCCCTACAGTTACAATTCGTATGTCCAAAATGTTCGCAGTAAAGTCTTGTGTAAGGTTAGGATTACTTGAATAGAATTTAACCCTTTAAAGGATGGGACCAAGAACACTTGTGGGGTGCTGGCTTATATTTGTCTGACTTTCAAGAACTAATTGCCGCACCTCACTCTGAAGCTCAGGTCAGTTAGGTAGGATTTCAGGATAAGGTTATAAGTAGGAAGTGTTTGAATTTATAAAGCATAGCCAGGTGCTTATTGAAAGCCAGTGCTACATCTAGAAACACACCCAAGCAATACTTTGAAACTATTTAATGAAACAAAATAAAATAGGTCATTAAAACAGAATTTTAAAGTATTTAGTGGAGTATCAGTGTCCGCAACAGTTGAAGTGTTGATGTAAGATAAAGGTCTCGGGTTTAAATCCAGTGTCCCTGCATTTGAACCTGACTATTTCCAATTTTTTTTTCCTTCATGAAATATTAAAATTGTGAAACTTCAGACAAGTGAAAGTTTTAACAGATCTCTTGTTGAATGAAAAACTATTACTATCTACCTCTTTGCATCTGTCCGCACTCAATATCATGTCGCAATTTGGTTCTGCGCCACTTCAAGCCACATAACTTAATAATAATATAATGACTCGATCAAATTGCTTTGTACTGAGTTGATATTCTTGGTTCCTTATCAAATGTGGATCAAAGGAATTCAGACAGAGTAAAGGACTTTTTATACATAAACAATTCCCAATATTCTGTATAAAGAAAGTTGAATACAACAACTCAGAGGACTAATTTTGAATTTAATAAGAGAAAGTATTCCCACAGTTGGTTTTTTCAAAATTAATATTACCTGTTTCAATGTTAATTAGAGCTATTGTCAAGAGTAGTATTTTTTAAATTGTATTTACCTTAGAAATCTGGAACAGTTAAGAGGTAATTGTCAGTATTATTGAATTGTCTGAGCACTACAAAGCTGTTTTACAACATTTTATTGCACCACATTAACAGCAAGAACACCATTAAAGTAACAACAATGTTAAGCTTCCACAGTTAGCAGCCACTGACTTAGTCACATATATAGAATATTATATTTATTTGTATAACATGACAATAAAAAGACGAGCCTCCCAGAAACCAATAAATAATTTGGTTTTCCAAATAGTGGTCGGCTATCGTCTTATTTTTCGGACCCAAACCAGCTTAATATACTATTCATAAATAGTAGTTTTATTAAATATGCATAACAATAGGTTATTGTCATTTCACAATGACATTCCAGAGTATCTGAATGCTCTTTGAAATTTAAAAGAAAATATTTTAGTGAATAATTATAAAGATAAATTTGTAATGACAAAACATAGGCAATTCTTTCATTTACAATATTTTTGTATGCATTAACAACAATCTGAAATCATTCAGCAGAAGTTCAGAAACACCAAGTCCTTTTCATTTATTGGACTAACAGATTATTTTAACATGAACTGTGGATTAATTTATTCAATGCCACTACAATGTACTTGTATATTACTAATAAGAGATAATACAGAACATATACATATACTATAAATTTATTATAACCAACCCATATGTTTAACCAACTATGGAATAGAAGTAAGCTCTTCCATCGAAATATACCAAACCCGAAAAGCAACTCACGAAGACCATCTGAGAGGCATCGTCCCAATACTTTTAAATATTGTAATTTTCTTTTTCAAATCGTTAAGTTTTTGTTTAATTTTATATTTAATCAACAGTACAACTTAAGTCGCAAACTTGTGCAATAAGAATAGTTGGTAAGTCAAATCCGATGTTTTGATAGATCGCACTTTTAATTACATAAACATTTTCAATGCCGATTAATTTAAAGCCAATTGGGCACCATCTTTTCAACAACCTCAGTGGTTTTATGACCAATTAGACGGTGTGCAGCCATTCACAACCTTCTTTGACTGAGGGGTGCCCGGGTGTCACATCGTTGCGACAATTTTGAATTTAGAAATATACTAATGTTTGTGCGTCTATCATAAATGTACAATTAATGATTTCATATCTCCTCCGTGCAATATTTACTACAGCACTTATAAATTTATTTACCCCCTTATATTTTTGAATCGGCTAGGAAAAACTGAATTTCATTTTAAATAATTAAATTTCTTTTGGAATAAAAGATACAGTATACACCTTTCAGCGGCTGACAAAATTCTGAAATTTTAAAAGTATTGGCTAAAAACATGTAAGAAGTTTTTTTTATTTTTGAAAAGTTTGCTTGAACCAAATTAAATTTTTGATTTATAACATCGGCTTATTGAAGTTTTGAAAGGATGGATGGTCGGATTTCAGCTTTTTTTCAAAGCTGACCATGAGATCGTGTGGAGGGACATTATCAGCAGCTTTTTTATGAATAGCTGAGTGATGCTTAACATTATTCCATTTATTTAATGCAAAAATAAACTAAGTCAATTTTAATTGCAGAAAAGAACAAGTGCATTTTATTTTAACTTTCGCCATCATCAGGCGATATTTATCACAGTCCTATAACTTTAGGTTAATACTGCATCTTTCATTTTTATCACAATTGCTTTGTCCTTTCTTTTTTTTTCATTTTTTTACAACAATTACACTGTGGTGCTAAATTGAAAATTTAAAAAAATAATGATATGGTTAACTCTTGGAGTTTTTGAGTGCAAGGATGTAGGCCTTACTGGAAACAGCAAATAATTAAACGAAACTTTTTACTCTAATTTCATAAAATTAATAAATTTGACTATTCGATTTTCATTTGTGCTCATCTTCTTTTTGGACCTCAAAATTTGTAATTTTTGTCATCTTCTTGATGGATCATCTGATAATATTTGTAAGCGATCAGTATTTTTCATTAATTAAATTTATATTTCAGTTAATTTCTTAACCGAAAACCATTAGCTATCATTCATCCTCGTCTTCATTTTGATAAGTAACATAACGAACTGAAGATTTTTCACCAAGCGTCAGCATCTGAAACAAAAACATGTTTTCAGCATGATGATAAATCACCACAATTTTTAAATACTGTCAAGTTGAGTTAATTTAATTTTTAACAAATCGGCAGTTTAAATTTTATATTTGGGATTATATGTAATATTTTCAAGAATAATAATATAATCTTACTTCTTGTTCCTCTTTTGTTGGTGGGTTCCTCATAATGACCATCAAAGGTGCATAGATAAAGTTGAGAAGCGCGATTAAGAACAACATCCATTCAAAGCCAATTGAATTGACCAAAGTTCCACTCATTGCAGGCCCTGGGAATTATTTATTGCAATTAAAAACGTACACTATGTTAAAGTAGACATTTACCTATGGCATAACCGAGGCAGAATGCCACATCCCCTATAGCATAAACGCTACCGTAAACTGCAGAATGCCTTATGTCGACCAGATAGGCCAACTGGGGCATCATCGAGCTGTCGACCATTCCAATAGCAAACCCTAGGCCGGCATTTGGTACAATAAGGTGGTACATGTTGCTTGCCATGGGTATCTAAAAAAAGACATTAAAGAAAACAACTCAAGCAATAGACATTTTCAAAAGCAAAATGAAAAATAATTTATAAATCATTAGTTCTGCAAATACTAAAAACAGTTCTAATTAAATAAAATAATTTACACTTACACACATCAAACAAATTCCTATGATAATTAATCCTAACAAGGTAGCCAACCATCTAAAAGGAAAATTGACAAATGGATAGTTTTATTTGAAAAGTGGCAAGTAGATGAAATAGTTAAAATCGAAGTGAAGCTACCTCCCCATGCGGTGTCCAAGGGGTCCAAACAAGTTTGTACCAATCAAATATGAAATGCTGGCAGGGAGAAAAGCAACACCTTGCTCCCAGCGTCCTGACCCCATCGTATCCATCATCCAAATGGGAAGCGAAGGCTCAAGCATAGCGATTCCAGTGTTTGCAAATGTAATCGCACCTGAAGAAAAAATTCCATTAAGCTTTTAAAAATCTTGTAAAACTTTCATCCCGAATGGTTATCACTCCCCGATATGCTGACTCTAGGACTACTCCTCAGGAGAACCTACCCCGTTATGTCGCTGAGACACCTTCTTTATCTTAGATTAGGTTATTTCTATGTGTGTAAGTCGATGGAAGAATATCAAGTACTCTACTGATTAACCAGAATGAGTAGGTACATAGGTGTGAATGTATTTATTTGTGCGATTATATTGTAGAAGTTAGTTTCAGGTTGTTGTATTGTTATAATACAATCGCACAAATAAATACATTCACTCCTATATGCCTTGTACTCATTCTGGTTAATCAGTAGAGTAGTTGATATTCTTCCATCGACTTACACACAATAGAAATAACCTAATCTAAGATAAAGAAGAGCGAGTAATTTCATAAATATTCCGCTATCGACCCTAATCGCACACACTATGGTGATGACGGTGATGCTACATTTCACCACAAGCCCCTCACCACTCACACTAATAAATAAACACCCTCAGACAAAACGCAGAACCACAAAACACATAAAACAGATCTATATACAATAAAAAAAAAAGAAAAAAAAAGACAAGTGGACCCAGGAACTCACTCCAAACCATAACTCATAATCTTTGAAAGAAGCCAAGGAAGCTTCTAGATGTGGGGCACATTGAGCAATCTTAACCTACACGGGCTTTGGCACTTTGTATTACCATGTATGACCTATTCTTAATTGGGTAAGGATGATTCCTCGTTTCTGGCCCAGGTTCTCGGAGGGCCATCTACTAAGCAGCTCTTGACATGCAAAAGCCTCTTGGACAACCCCGCACATAAAAATCTTGTTAAACATTGAAAACTCACCAGCAGCAATCAGTATGTAAGGATCAGTAATTAACGCTTTCAGGGAATGTGATTCAGTTTCCTGTTTTACAATGCCTGGTTGTAGAAGCAAAAGTTGTAGTACTGAAATGAAAAAAAAAATGAGTTGTTTAAAAAAATGAATAAAATTAATTTATTAAATTTCAATTAATTACATCCATCTACAAGTGCAAGTATGGCCAGTACTATGAATGGGGCAGACTTGCTTACAAATTCGTACATAATCCCTCCGAACGGAGGCCCAATCAAGACGCCTAGAGCCAAGCCGCCTAATGCAAAGCCCATTGCATTACCTCGTTCTTTGTCATCGGGGTATCGCTCAGCTAGCATACCCATTCCTAAAAACAGACAAATAAAATTTAGCCAAATGTGAAATGTTAGAAAATTGGCAATGCTCACCTGCTACACTTGAACAGGATGATCCAATACCTTGCAGAGCCCGGGCAATAAACAAAACAGAATATGTACGTCCAAAAGCAAAAACTGCAAAGATTAATTTTTTTAATAGTTTTAAAAACATAATATGATTTAATTATCAATCTTACTTATGGTAGAAAGAAACATAATGATAAATCCTATCAACATTGGAATACTGTAGCCAATTCTGAAAAAAAATTACATAAAAATCAGTTAACGATTAAAATCAAATTTTGTGATTTTAGTCAAACACTTTACAGAAAATATGGAGAGAAAGTAGCTTTGTCATTTCTGATCGTTTTGGTCTGCATATCCTTGCAGTAAGTTAACTGATCAAACTACTGGTTCATCACCCCACAGACCTCAAGAAGAAATCTATGAAAATGTAAGTAGTAATTTGTTCTGTTCATTAATTCAAATCTATTTGCTGTTTTTACTGTCCAGGAGTCAATTGTTAAGCTAATATTAAGTTAATATTAATAAACAGGAAAAATATATAATTTTTTTCTTGAGGTCTATGGGGGGATGGACCTAAAGTTAGGTTTTTCCTATTATTGTAGTATGCTTCTCCTTGCTTCTTTTACAGCTCTACCACTGAGGATGGCAAGAACCAATATTCATCTGACTGACTAAAAAAATTTGTAAAATATTTAAGTGTAATTATTATAAAAATCTTGTTTTTTGGTTAACCACTGATAGAGAATGTGTAGTGTATAATACAGAGATGATCCAGCAATAATGTAAGTTGCGAGATTTCGCTGGTTGCCTGTGATGAAAATGTATTTGGTCATTACAGATCATTTTTGTCTGCCAATCCTTGATGTGTTGTTCTGTCAGACATGTTTTGGCATTTTTCTGTTTTCTGTAATGTCTGAGTATATCATAATTATATTGTATATACCCAATAGTGAAGATGGTGAAATGTGAAGTATGGGGAAATGGGCCCCTATGAAACTCAAAATATGCAAGTGTTTTGTAATAAAGTATTAAGAATTAGCAGTAAATGCACAATGATTCATTCGGAATAGCTAACTTCACAGGAACTTAGAAATACCAACTATCAAAAGATTCAATAACTGAAAATTCAACAAATTTGTTTCAAATCAACTTCAAGTAACTGGGGCTGTTAAGTTCAAAATTTGACAACCTTCTACATATCTTTAGCTGCATCTTCTCCAAGATTTAATTAAAATATAGGGACATCGATGGTTGCAATGGTTTAGGTGTTGACGCGGCTCGAATTTGAATCCAGGGGCCCTGCATTCAAACCCAACATGCTTAGAAATGGGCTTTTTGTTTTGTAAAAAAACCAGCACCCCAAGGGTTGATATGACCTTTGCTGTTGCATCCTTGTATCCCCCCCCCCAAAAAAAAAATTAAATTAAATTAAAATATACTCCTAACATGTGAATGTACAAACTGTGTTGTTATAAGTAAAAAGTTTATTTGAGCTTATTGAAATCATGCATTTCTGTACATAAACAGTTGTAAATTTAAGAAATACCATGTATAATAGATGTAATGTTGATCTGGCAATAAAAAAATGTATTAATATTTTGTGAGTAATGAATAATGTTTATTTTAATACAACAGCTCAGCATAAAATCAATATTAATAAATAAAACAACTTATTATCCAAATATCCCCCCCCCCTTTGGCCTGTTGACACAATTTTGGTTATGATAGATCTTTAATTTAATCCAGCCCTTCGCAGTACGTAGAATGCTGTTAAATTGAAGTTGGTTTATCTCCATGTGATATTTATAATACATCATTTCTGTGTAAAATGTACACAAAACAAAAGTTCAACATTACTCCGAATTATTTGCAGTCTGGTAGTGTAGAAATAAAAAATAAAAACCCCAGCAAGAATTGACCGACTAGGATCATCGGTAATGACCGAATTGCATGTTAATCTCACACCACCGACTGACCACACAGAGAAATCTTACAAATTAATATTGTTTGTGAGGAACAAATGTGGAATGTTCCAATTATTCAATTGTTTGGAAGTTCTGGGTTTTATGAATTACAAAATTTTGGCCTTTGTAAAAAAGATGAAGCAATAAAAAAAAGCAAAAATCAAGTATTTGTCTATTCCATAAAAAATAAATAAATAAAAATGTGGGTGTGAGATTAAAATTTTAGAAAAAGAAAATTTTCATTTTCTACATCCTATATATTGAGTGCTCGGTCACACCACTCTACAGTCACACTTTGAGCTTGCATTTGAAATATATAAGTAAAATACTGAATCACACACCTGACACACTGACGCAGTTTTTGGCCGACATAGTAATAAATAAAGGCATATTATGGCACAAGCAGCTGTCAGAGTTAGGTAGGCTGTACGGTGAAGGAGTAAGTAGGGAAGAACTGAAGTCCTCTAATACCACGGACCTGATAAAAAAATGGGAAGAGAGCAAAAGGAAAGACCTGGTAACCCGTGCGAGAAACAGCTTACATCACAACTTGTATGCAGGACTGGATTTTCACTTTGGGCAAAACTACATGGAGTGCTCTGATATGACAGCCTATGAGGTGTCTCTGGTCTTGAGGGCGAGGGGTGATTTACTTCAGCTGAACTGCCAACCGTGGAGACAGGATCGCGCCATCATTTGCCCCTTATGTAACCTCAATGTCCCGGGGGACACTCTCCACTTCAAGGGAGTGTGCCCCGTTTTGAGAGAGTTCCGCCAAATGTACTTTGGGAAACTGAAGCTGGATGTAGAAATCATTGCAATCCTCAAAGGAAGGGATAACTGGAAGAAGCTTGTGGTGTACATCACTCACGCCTTGCGGTACCGAAAATACCTCGTTGACCAATTCAATTTTTAAAATCAAAGTTCATTCTAAAGGTACAAAAATAGGGATTCATTCAAGATTCAAAAATTGATAAAGCAACTCGACAGACGGCTAAGGCCATTGTCAATTTAGCTTTTTCTTTGGAAATGTAAAGTTAATGTAAATACTTTGTGTAAATAAAGCCTTTATTCATTCAAATTTTCATTTTTCCCGGGAACAAGTTTTTAAAAGCAGTTTCCTGTTTTTAATGAGTAATCTTTAATCACCAGGCTGTGGCTACATTTTGTCAGAATATTTTGTGTATGTTTAATTTATTTCTATTGTTTATATACGGATAATAAAACAAAACCTTTGGTGAAAATAAAACGCAAAATGCGCCAGTAAAAAAGTGGTCATAAAGAAACTAATTGCAACGAAAAATAGCCGAGAATTGTGCAAATTCGAAGCTCAACTCTTGATTATCACAAACCACAAATGCAAGCGTGCCTGGCATACCGAATTAAACGGCGAGAATTCGAACAGTTCTAAAACTTCAACAATCCGTTTCTTGCCAAAACGGACATCAGAGGTTCAACTTCCCCGCCCGGATTTCACCGGGGATCCAAGGGTAAAATCCAAATTTGAACGTGACTCGGGAAAAAATCCTTTTTACAAAATTCAAAGCAACCACGAGAAAATCCTTAAGACTGATCCCCTCGAAAATGAATGGTTCTGCCACTCTTAAGACTCCTTATGCAAAAGGATTTATTNAATTAATTGTCATGTATTAATTGGTCAAGCGGACCACGAAAGTAGTGAATTAATGATTTAAAAATGAAGTACACTTCACTAAAGCTCTCCGTCGCCATTTCATTTGTCGCCGAGAATCAAATAGATTACACGACATTTAAAAAATGGCAAAAAGGAGGGAAAATTCCAAGGTGAGGTTGAGATGGGAAGTTAGTGTCCGAGTGGATCGAGGTCACGCTAGCTCAAGTGGTAGAGCAGCGGCGTATCTAGCCGAAGGTCGTGGGTTCGAATCCCTCTTTTTCATCACAACTAAAAACCTTAATTAATTGTTCTGAATAGACTTGGAAAGATAAAGTCTAATCTCCATTGATTTATTATCACCTGAGATCATTGTAGATGCTTGTGCAACGTTTAATGTAAAAAGTTCTTTTAAAAGGTGGAACATGGCCAGATAGATAAAAGGTGAAAGACAAATAGATCATAGAGAATATATTACGAAAAATTTTCTATTTAAAAAAATTGGTCGGTTTTAAAATTGATTGGTATGCAAATGGTTGTCTTTCTGTCTCTATGGTGTGCTAGAGGAATGAAAAAATCTATAAATATTTTAATCTACCAAGAACGCGTGTTTGAAAAAAAAATTACAAATCTTCAATAATCAAAATAATAATTCTTAATCATGATGAAAATAAATTAATATATTAAGGATATTTTGGCATAGGTTGCTTGTACAAGAGAAATAATTGTAGGGACACTATAATAGGGTACTAACTTGTTTGTCAAAGGTCCTACAAAGGGGTTGGCTATGAGCTGGACAAAGGCTTTGGAAGCGAACATCAATCCGACAGAAACCGTTTCTTTTGCGAGGTCCTTGTGTCTCTTTTCTTCCATCGAAGGTTCAGCGGTTGTGTTCTCTGAAACCGGTTTAATTAAGATTTCGAATTTCAAAATTATCTCCGCACATACCTGGAGGATAAGATGTGTCCAATGTGGAGTTAAATTCAAAAAAGGGCGACTGGGTTGTTGAGACCGGTGGGAGAGTCGTCACGATATGCTTTTGCAGTGCCTCTTTTTCCTTGGGGTGTTCGATCTCATAAAGAAAATCAGGGATGATTGGAACTGCAAATTAAATACAAAAAAAGGTTAACGTGTTAAGTTATTCATAATCCACTAAAGTACACTTTAAATAAAATATGTATTCTGTATTTAAATAGTTTGATTATGAAAAATCGAATTAAAACAGTTTATGTACTATGTAATTAAAACATTTAACATTTTTCAGCAAAACTGCCGTGTTTGTATTGAAAATTATTGTTACAGAAACATTTTAATTCTAGTTTCTGCAGTAAAATGTACTAATTAGATACCTTGTGAGTTTCAGCACTCTTATAGTCTGTTGATTTTATTCAACGCTTCACAGTTTAACGTCGATAAAAATCTCTTCGATTTGAATTTTTGGAAATTCTGCTGTATACGTTGACAGATTCGGCTCACAGATGGATTATTATTCATTGAAGATGCTTCAAACTCGACAAGGGCCTATCTGTTTTAAGTGAATACACCGTTAATGAATAACAGTTACTAGTGTTTGCGCTAAATAGTACTAATTTCATGAACGCAGTTTAATTGTCATATTCGTGTTTTAATCAAAAATATATATTTATATATCTTTAAAAGGTTTGGTTCCAAAGTTTTTTGATATTTTTTTTTTCATTTTTCCTATTGGCAAAATACGACTAGTATGCCTTTGTGTACTGCTAAACAGAAGGGAAAATTATCGCTTTTCTCGTAGGTTCGACTTGGATCCATCCATACGGGCTCTTTATCCATAGTTTATTTTTTCTATTTGTGAGGTTGTAGGTCACGGAAAGAGAACACACTACATTAAATCGAGCGGAGAAAATATCCAGCGATAGATCTCTGTATAAATAATTTATTATAATTTTTAAATGATCAGTTACAATTGTTTTTATTGACACTTGTAACATTTATGTAAGGAGTAGCATTTACGTACGGCCAAAGACAAAAACCGGACATTTGTATTTATTTGCTTATTTTCCATATAAGGTAGGCATAACGATTAATAGTTGATTTAAAACGTAAACACATCATAGAAATGATAAATGATGGAGTGAGTGTGGTGTTCAATACTTTTAAAAAGTATTAAACACATCATTATTAATAACTTTCAATTAATTAAGGTTTTTTTTTAGTAGAGATAAAAAAAAGCTAAAAAATCGCCCCGCCGCTGCTCTACCACTTGAGCTATCGTGACCTCGATCCACTCGGACACTAACTTCCCATCTCAACCCCACCTTTTGAATTTTCCCTCCTTTTTGCCATTTTTTTATCTCAACTAAAAACCTTAATTAATTGAAAGATATTAATTGGTCAAGCGGACCACGAAAACTAGTGAATTATTAATAACTTGTTGTGTACTTTTATAAAGTGTTAATAATCCTTTCACTCTTTAGATTAATAAATAATTTCAGAGGCCCAAGTACTAGGCATGCCGCGCTCTACCATCCATGATGGTCTACAGCTGTTTAGGCCCACAGGAAGTCTCGATCGAACAGAAAGTATTGGTCGACCGCGATGTAGGACGGCTAGAGACGATCATTTTATAACTCCTACCGCACGATTGAACTGTCATTTAACGGGTTTCTTGATAGGTACCTTCGACACTTGAAAAATGAAGGGCTGTTCTCTTCACAGATGAATGCCGGTTTGGTTTCTGGTAATCAGATGACCGAGACTGTGTCTGGAGAACGCTTTGGTTCGTGTGTCATGCTTGAGTCAAAGACAGTTATGGCATGGGGTGGAATCAACGTCCATGCCGGTATCGAACTGATATTGAGGAAGTTCTTCTGGAGGCTGGGATCACATTCACTTCATTTATTGGGGACAACTTCGTGCTAATGCATGATATAGCTCGACCGCATTTAACTCGAGTTTTCATTTGAACTGCTCAAAAATGAGTAGGGATATTGCCAAATTTGTAGTATATACTTTCCCTAGCATTATTTCATTTTTATTATAAATTGCATTAAAAGTTATTAAATTATTACCGAAGAAAAAGTTAACTAAGGTATTTTGAAAATTAACAAAATAAAAGGTTTTAATTCCATAATTTTGTTTATTGGACACAATAATTTTTTTAGACAATGAATACCGTTAATGTCCTCTGTTAGCTAAAATCTGTTAGGTGTACAGCCAGTGGCAATAAGGATGCCACTAATTTCATAAGGAATTTTACTCCATAGATACTGCAACGATGTACTCAGTTGTTGCAGGTCAACTGGCTGCGGATGGGGATCGAAAAGCCTTCTCTGCAAAGCATCCCGCATGTGCTCAATGGAATTGAGGTCTGGAGACAATGGGAGAAGGGGCAGATGGGAAATTCCCAGGTTTTGTAAACATTGATTAACAACTCTATATATTACGCAGGGTGGGGGACCAAGACACAAGGGTAGACTCGAACCCATCCCTAGAAGGTCCGGGACTTGGTCGGCTCACGTGTCCTGCATAAATCTCTTGGACTTGTTCACAAACCCCAAGATTTTAGACCGTTTTATCTCGGGGAGTGATTTGGTAATGTCCGCTCCTTCAAAGAATTCAAATCTGGACCTAGCATACCTATCTGCTGCTTTGTGAGGTGGTTGGGGATCTGGTGGAATACCCATTACGGAGAGGTGTCTTCTCAGTGGGCATCAGAGTACCTCCCAGCCGCTTAATTTCCTTCCTTGAGATAGAGAATAGCCGTTTCGATTCTGCTGGTTTAATCACCTTAACAAACTCTTTCGATTGCCTGTGTCTGGGGGTTAAATTCCACTCCTTAAGGAATTGTTTCATGCCCCAGTTCTTAATACTCTCCTTTGCTGTGCTCATAGAGTGAGATAATACCGGTTGTGGCCCGACAAACGCAATATTAGAGCCTTCTTTGGCCAGGCTATCCGCCTTTTCATTACCATAGCCTTTATGTGCTGGTATCCAAATAAGGGTATCTGGTTCTCAAACCTGGAAGAGATCCTATTGATAAGATCTACGGTTTCCTCCACTAGTCTTGAGATTGACAAGTCTTTTTGTAATGACCTTAGACTTGCCTGACTGACACAAACAGATTAACCACTCTGCCTCTGTGAGGTCTGGCATTATCATCCAGAAATCGAAAATCCCGAAAAAAGGGAAGCCAATGAGATGTATTCCACAATAATTTCCCGGACATGACGGACTGCCGTGGGGTTGCATTCAACAAGGTCCAGTTTTTCCTGCAGTGTAAATCCCAGCCCAGACCATTATAAGGCCTCCTCCAAACTGCACTGAAGAAAGCACAAACCTGGGCATTGTACGCATCCCCTGTTCTCGGTAGACTCTTCGACGCCTATTATCACTATACAGACAGAAACGCGACTCATCAGTAAAGCATTATATAAACAGCATAGAACACTTTTAGAAAATGATAAAGAGACGGGTTAGACATCGTCCGCCGCCTCCTATAAGCGCTGAACAGCTTCAAACAAGGTTTGGCAATAAGCTTTTTGGCGAACTATGTTTTTGTATACTTTCCATTTTTCACAACCTGATACCAACCTATGAAGGAAAGGGTCGTAAGAGTGGCGACAGAGTAGTGAAGAGCAAATTGAAATGCAATCCGCCAAATCCCTTTCGCTGAGTTCGTGAGGGATCCATGTACAGTACTTTTGAACAAACACAAGTATTTAGATGTTGTTCATTGTATGGGATACATTTAACAATTCTCCTCGTTCCCGGGTTGTCTAAAAATGGGTTTCTTTTAGCCTATGCTTCAATATGTCGTCGTCGACCTCAGAAGGACGTCCACTGCGCCCATCATCTTCAAGAACAAAATTTCCTTCTCTAAATCGATGGAACCACCGTTGGACTTACGACGAACATTTACAGCATTAATACCAAACACTGGACACAAGAAGTTATATTGTTCCCTTTTTAGAATTCATATTGTAAACTTAAATGCGTTTCATTCAATGATGTGATTACTTATTAAATTATTCTAGATAACTAATGAAGTTGAAAACAGAAACTGAGGAGAAATAGTAAATGTTAGCTAATTAATCCTATAATTTAAAACCAACATCACTTTCTTGCCATACCTTCGCTTAACCTCTTCAGTTCTGTGTGGTGGAGATTAGTGCGAAATGTTTTGAATTTTTTACTAAGGACTAAACTACTTAAAGAACGCAGTAGAGCAAAATACTTCCTCATCTACATAGTAAAACGTATTTTTGGAAAAATAAGGGTAAATGATTCTATAGAACAGTATGATTCAATTGGCTGAAAAGATTTCAAATATTTAATCAGACAATATTTTATTAAAGAACTTATACCATTTTACTTTCTTGCCAAACGAATATTTGAGTTAATTATTTAGAAATCGTGAGATGCGGTCTGGTGTGATGTAAGTTTCAGAAAAACATTTTCTTTATCGTGCCAACGTTTCGATCATTATTGAGATCATCTTCAGGGCTCAAAGTGTTGGTCTTCTGTGTAATTGTGCCATTCTTGCGTGTCGTGTTGAGAGTTGAGTTTTTCTGAAACCTACATCACACCAGACCGCATCTCACTATTTCTGAATAATTATCAATTAACGGTCACTAATCACCACATATTTTAGTTAATAATAAATATTTATAAAAATATTTGTTTCTTTTTGCAAAAATACCGATAATAGCATACATAGACACATTGTGCAAGGTTTATTTCTTTGAGTTACACTTATTTTGATCTATTTGAATATTATATGCCCCGAGGAATATCGAGTGTTGTGTTACTGTTAATTTATTGGAATGAATGTAATTTATTAGCGTGAAAGGAAGGGGTTGCTTATACTCTGGAATAAGTGTGTAACGTCTGGAGAGTAAAAGTAAGTTATTAGGGAGAGTGGAGTGGATTCGACCCCGCCACGAGAATATCGAGTGTTGTGTTAGTGTTAATTTATTGGAATGAATGTAATTTATTAGCGTGAAAGGAAGGGGTTGCTTATAACCTCACTACGAGGAATATCGAGTACTCTGGGGGAGTGAATGTGACCAGACTTCTATGTTTCTATCGAGTGTTGTGTTTGTGTTAATTTATTGGAATGA